AAAGTTGCAACTGTGTTATTTAATGAGCTAACATGAACTAAGACTTGTATTTTTTTTAAACAAAGATTAATAACTTCTGTCGCAAATGTAGCTATTGCTCATTGTGAATGTTAATGCATTAACTAAGGTTAACTAATGAGGTCTTATTGTAAAGTGATACCTATTGGTCTTTATAGTTCTTTTGCACTTTAATCTGTGTAAAACTTTTAACTTTATACATTTTTCTGTATTGCTTTATTGCATTTAAATGTTCAGTTATTTTTGTTATAAGAAAAATGTTATTAAACCTGTTATACTGTATTATGACAGCACTTTTTTAAACTAAATTTCAATACCGTGATAATACCGAATACCGTGATAAAAGCATTAGCAATTAATCGCAACATGAAAATTTGATATTCTGTGACAAGAAGCCTCATCAGATCACAAAAGGAAGTATTTGACTGGTGTTGTGGCGTAAAAAGGTTATAATTTTCTTTTTTGTTGGACAACAGGTTTAGAAATGTGAATACAAGGGAGGTTTAGCTTTAGGCATTTTAATTTAAGCATGTTTAGCTTAGTTAACGGAAGGCTACCTGCTGCCATCAGAGCAAGTGTAATTACTGCATTCACGCACTCCTCGGATGCTCTCATTTCCCGAGTTGTGCTTTTAAGTCTGAATGTGAAAACAACATGGACACTCTCGTTACTACAAAGATGTGTTGGATTTGTATTATTAGAGCTTTCCGACTTGAGTTCACGTGCATTTTCTCAGTCGGGAAATTATTTTTCACGTGCGGTGCCAGTGATGATGCTTCTTACGTCCATTTCGGAGAACCAGAGTACAAATATTTCAATCGATCGCTCAGGCATGGCACCGAAATGAGGCACCGAAATCTGCATTCGGATTCGGTTCTAGTACATACCGGTTACATAGGTACCGGTGCCATATTGGTACCGGGTTTCGGTACCCAACCCTAGAGATAGTTGGCTGTAATGCACATATAAGTCTGCGATCCGCCGTAAAGCAAGAAGAAGAAGAAGACGCGTCACGCGCCGGTTGTCGAGGACGCGCTCAGGACAGTTCAGACATTGTAGTGCATCAGAGGTAAAAAAAAATATATATAAATACTGTTCAGTTTCTTGCACAGACTGATCGTTTCGTGTCTTTACACATCAATGTATCGTCACGAGCCGCAGGGTTTAATTTGGTTTTGTTTGTGTATGTTTTTTTTACTCTCAAAGCTGTGATTCCCATTCACTTCCATTATAAGACTGACGGACTGCAACGGTTTGAGTTAAAAATCTTTGTTTGTGTTCTACTGAAGAAACAAAGTCACCTACATCTTGGATGCTCTGGGGGTAAGCAGATAAACATCAAATTTTCATTTTTGGGTGAACTATCTCTTTAAAAGTAATTTTCAGATTTTTGCATAATGCAATATTAAACCATTTACAATTTTTCACTGAACAATTGTTTTTGAAGTAAAATGATTACTGGAGTACGTTTTACAAGAAAACACCATTTCATTCTTTCTTAAAATTTCAAACTTTCAAGCTTAATAATTGTGCAAAATGTGGTTTCTTTGTATTAACTGTGAAATTTACCTGGAAATTAGAAATTGGAAATTTGGCTATTACACCAAATATTTTCCAGTGTTTATGATAAATTACCTTACCATATATCACAATTAAGTTACAGTTAACAGGTTTTTACTGTAGTCCTGTTTGCAAATTGCAAATGTTTTTTTGCAGTGTTGAAATGAGAACGGTTACTATTTTACTCATAATGAAATCAGGTGAAAATGTATAGATACTCAATTGTTTGTTTCTTTCTTAATGCCATGCCAAGTCCTATAGAAATTCAATGTGGAATTCAGGTTAAATTCTGTTTAAAAATAAATTCTGATTTGAATTGTAGCGTTCTAGTTTTTCGTCGCATCATGCTGCTCGCTCACAGTGTAGACAATGTGTCTCTCTCTTTGGCTCTTCATCTTACTTTCCTCAAACATGCAGTAGTGTAAACTCTGGTAAGAAGAAAGGACCTATATGGAAAGATGTGGCACAAAAGCATGTGAGTGAGAGATATGCCAGAAAAACCAAATGGAAAGTCCCTGACTTGTCCTTGGCTCCATTTCTTTCTCATATTTTCCTGAGGGAGAAAGCCAGCCTATGACTCAAAGCTGTGTTATTTTCTGATTATACACGCAGAGAGCAGCTAAAGTTAGCCTGCTAATTCCCATGGCCTGTCAGAGAGCAGCCGACGCTGAGCTGATCCGATCTGATATTACAAACTCTGCATCTCTACATGTATTATCTCTGCCACAAACACCCATATCTCTGGCCTTCAAAGAGCTTAGAAAGCATTGTTAGGGGTCAAAGTCTAATTCATAGACACACTGCGAATATATTTGTAATGTTATCCTGTATCTTTCTGCCTGTTTCTATAACATCGCACACTAGATTTGTACATTTGATCCATAAATACAGTAAAATGTGAATGTAAATGAGTCAGGAACTTCCATGCAGTAATTCCAGTTTCAATAGCACAGTTCTGAGACAGCACAGGCAGCTAGTCTAACCACGTAAAGCAGATTCATGAGGACATGTTAACGCTCTGACCAAATGCAGTAATGTGTGTGTGATTTATCTGCATGTGTGAACGTGTGCATCTGTGTAAGATCTGATCTGTTAAGCAATGTCATTTCCTAGGCAAGCAAACAACTTTGTCATATACAAACAGAAACAAACACACAGGCACGCTCATTCTGAGAGTGACTGTAGCAACCAGGAAGAACTTCATATAGATTTGACCTCATCTAACCTCTAAATGAATCAACGAGTATTGTGAACTCGATGAAGGACTGACAGCTTGAGCTGCTTAATGATTTTGTGAGGTATCACAGGCACGTCTGAGATGATTCAGCACGACTGGTGAACAGGTCAAAGGTGAACATGTTTTTTTTTTAACATAATCAAAAAAAAACTACTGGAGCTGAGCAAAGCAAGGAAAGAACCGGCCATATTCTCAGCACCTAATACAGAAGAAGAGACAACAGAAGAACTAGCTAAACAAACACACTCTCTTAAGGCCCTTGTGATTTTGATCAGACAGTAAAGCAAACATACTGTAATAAATCTATCAGCCACACACACACACACACACACACACCCACCCACAAAGGCGTCTCTTGCATAAAAAACTGTTTTGCAACAACCTGTTGGAGCCCTATTTTGTATTGTAGTGCACTGCAGAAGTTCTGAGGTATTTATTTAGCAAATAAGAAGAATTTGAAGCTTAGAAATGTTATATTTTAAGTTTACGTTAGTGTAATAATCTATATTGATTCCCAGAAGCAGCATTGCCAGTTGTTCCTCAAAATAAACGCGTTTCTTATGGTTACTATTACTTCTAATGTTATTTTTGCAACATATTTTATAAATAGACACACACACACACACACATTGGCCTATGTAATATATTTTTTATTTGACCATATTTGAGAAAAACATTTATACTTTAGAGGCTTGACTATTTGTTTCTGAAGATTTTCAGCAGAAGGATTTGGCAACGCTGCTCAGGAATGGTTGACCAATTTAAGTTCAAATTCTTCTTATTATTACTTAGTTTTTTTAATTTGCAAATTGATTCATTTACAAATTATTTTCATAAATATTACAGAAAATAAATGTAAATACAGCAATTGTTATGCATGTGTTATTTAATTCTTAAATATATTTTTATGTATATTTTATTATACATATCAGCTTTTTTATGCACATTGACCGCCCTGCTCTCCTGCCAAAAATCCTATATCTGTCGACCACTACTCAGAAGTGAATGAGTTACACAGAAAGGCTTGGACAAACCAAAAACCCTCGTTGGTCCAGCTAATAAAACTCAAACTTCACTGGCTTTTCATTGCCATGTTTGATAATGATTCAAATGCACAAACACAGACACAACAGGGCAGGAGCACTGCCTTTATAATACCTGCCCTCCAGGTAAAGTGTCACTGTATCTGCTTGACCAAACTATTGTTCAGAAACAGAACGTGGTGCGCCTCATCTGATTGACAGGTCACTATGGCAACATTTCCTCAAGCATGTGACTCACAGTGCTTTGGTGATGTCATAATAATAACATCAAATGTCATAATGGCAGTTACTATAGTAACACACCACACCCACTAAGGAGAGGTTCTTTCACCATATACAGCCCGCATCTGACACAAATAAACAATAATTCACCAGTTCCTGTTACAAACACACACAGGCAGACCACTTCACTCAAACACATTAACTGAAAACGGATGATTATTATTACAAAGTTAAGTATTTAATATGAGTGTGCAGTGAGTTTCATCTTTGATTAATACATTTTCATGCATGTTCACAATTAAAGTTAACTATATTAAAATCATGAAATAAAAAACATTTTTGTTACTTAAAATAGATGTTAAATCAATTAATATAAAAAAGCTTAAACTTATATTTTATTTTATTAAAGCAACATTTCTCATTTTTGTTTAGTTTAACAAAGTACTAAAATTTAAACTAAATAAAAACTTAAAACTTAAACTAAATAAACTAAACTCAATAAATAAAACAACTAGGTAGACATATTTTAAAAATAATACTAATAAAAATGTAAAAAATAAAACAAAATTGATTTTAAATTAAAATAATAGAGAAAACAGAAAACAAAATTCAAAATATTAACAAAACTATATTAGTATATCATCAATGATATTAAAATAACACTGACTCACAATCAAACAGACCATGCAACCAATCCCAAATCAGACAATCAGTCAACCTGAGTTTCACGAATTACCTGTTCATGTTACTTAATATCAGCCTAAAACCGAAAGAAAGAACAATGCCAGCCTGTCCTGGCCATGGGAAGACAGTGATTTACAGCTAATGGAGTGAACACTGGAGTTTTGTGTCCCTGAATGCCGCTTTCAGCACACAGGCCTGCTATTATGCCAGAACTATGATCTCAGGTTAGACAGCAAACTCATTTGTTTAAAGTAACAGAACACCAAAGTCTGTAGGCCAAATGAAACAGACTTGTCAACCTTACTTGTCCTTGTTTGTGCTGAGAGCTTTGAAGATTTCCCACAAGGATTCAAATTCATGAAAAATGACTCCGAATGCAGCCTCTGAATTAATATTTTACATTCAGAATGTATTATCAGAGTCGAACCCACAATAGACGTCTCATCTAGTATTTAAATTAGTGGTCGGTCAGTGCACATTCTTGAAAGCCTTAAAAGTCCACCTAGGCCTAAGGGCACAATATATATTTTTTGAGCATTTCATGTGATCATAATCAATGTGCCTGACATGAAAGGTTATAAATAGGAAAGAGTTGTGCAAATACTTACTAATGTTACTATTTAATTACACTTCATTGTAAGAGAAGTTTGTCTTGGACTCTATGGTGGTGCTGAACAGATATATACACAATATAAACATTAAAAATCAAATGTGGATATCACTTCATTATATATCAGTCATTATAAATAAAAAATAATCTTCATTGGTCATAGTAAAAGTGTTTATATATAATAAATATATTATTTAGAAAAAAATTATTGATTTATGGCTAAAAAAAGTTTTTTTGTATCAAATATTTTGCATAGTGAAAAAGTGAAGTGATTTTTATTGTATTATAAATATTTTATTGATAAATGTCATTACATTTATGCAATGTTTTACTTTTACTATTTACTTTTTACTATGACTTGAAATTTTTATTATTCATTTCAAAATAATATTATAATTTTTATTATTAGTTAGTGCACATTATAGTACATTTATGCAAAGTAGTAGAAAAGCGTTAATAAGAAGAAAAATTTGAATATGGGGAAAAATGGTTAACGCCATAATCTGTCTCTCTCTAATGAAGACCTATGAAATACTTCAAATAAAAACATTTTAGAAGACCTTAAGAGTGATTCTGCTCTTGTTTAATGGGTGCAGTTTTGATACTTCAGTTTCAATTTGTGGTCTTGATTAGATTTGTGACTCATTCAGGTATGCAAGCAATGTCAGTGAATACACAAACTTTTGACAACATCAGATTTTAACGCCACACACGCAGAGCAATGTCTGTGTAAGACGTATAGGTCAAGGCTGAGGTCCAAGTTCCCCGTGTGAAACATTAACAGACTGGAGTAACGCGATGTTCAGTGTGTAACTCACCCACGGCGGCAGCTCTGAGCTCCGGACGCTCTGACGCACCGCTCGCTCCTCTTGCTCCAGAAACGCCAGCGCCCGGTTCACCGGAGCGAATCTGCTGCCCTGGTTCCGTCTGAGCCAGAACAGCGCGGCCAGGACGATGAGGACCCAGCTGAAGCTGAACTCCAGATATCCCAGCACGTATATGGGTAAAATCAACAGGAATGTCTTGGCGAACTTGATTCCCATCTGCGTGGTGTCCGTCACCGCGGACTGCGGCTCCTCGTCCGGTAGCACCGGCTCGGGTGTATTGACATCGGTGGGGCTCGGAGGAACAGAACCCGGTCCGTTCAGATTTGGTGCGGGTTTGGGTTCCACTCCGTTCACTGACGCACTCATCTCCAAAGTACACAAATCCAAAACAAACAACAAAAGTAAAAACTAAACAACTAAGAGAGCTTCTACAGAAACATCTCAAACGTTTACAAATCTTTGTCAGAAAACAAAACGAGTCGCGTCGCTCGGTTCCGGGCTCTTCCCAGGAGCGCAGATGACTGGATCAGCGCTGCTCCCTAAACTAATTTTAGTGTGCAAGTTAAAAAAATAACCAACACTAGCAAAATATTGGGCGACACAAAAACTGAAAAAGATATGCTTCAGGAGTCTTGCAAGTCCCTCTGTGAATGATATGCGAGTGTGTGTTTGCTATTTTGAGGGTGTTCAATCTACAGTTAGCAGGCTGACAGAAGTGCTGACAGTGAGAAGGTGCTGGAAATCATGGTTGTTGTGCCTGAGAACAACCATGAACCATCATGAGAATGAGCCTTTCTTTAAGATCATCAGTGTGCGTGTTTCTACATGTTGTAAGCCACATATATGTGGTCGAGCTGGTCGGCGAGGAAGCCGTCCCGTAGGTGCATGCGTTGCTTCTCTCCGCGAGAATTGATGGGAATTACGCCCGTGTCCACAACCACCACCACGCCAACAATCAAGTAGTGTTCCTCTAGAACCACATTAGTTACCATGGGAACCAGATCTAGAGCTTCCTGCTCGGAACCGTCCAACTCCACCACCACCACTAAGAGATTCGTCCATGTGAATGCCGCGCTGAATGAGAGAGAGAGAGAGGAAATTTAAACTTTACTCTATGAAAATATGTCAATACAAAATAGCTGTGCAAGCTCCATTTCACACGTTTGCGCAATGCAACTACGATAGGCATTAGCATAAACTCTTGATCTGCAGTCAGTTTTCTCTCTCAGGTCAACTACTCTATTGTCAGCAACATTATGAAGAGAAACTTGCTGAGCAAACAAGTTTATGGATGGCTACCTGAATAATAACATATCCGGTTTAAGGACACAGACATTTGAAGGAAACCACTGCTTCCTTGAATACTGAGGTTTGTTACTGCCAGTAAAAATACATGTTTATGTTGAATGTGGCTCATTTAATCATTTTTAAGTGTGAAGTCTTTGGTTATTAACTCAAGCTTTATTTAATGTGCAGCAGCTGTTTTTTTTTTAGTGCAGATCTCAGACTTATTATTCAGTTGTTATGAATAATAACACTTAGTTTTGATTTCACCATACCTTTGAAATACCTTTCAGTTATAAACTATTTTAATCATCATAAAGTATTGAAGTATTCCTACATGGATGCCTAAAATATGAAATGTTTTGGGTTGTATTTCCAGTAAAAATAAGTATATTTGATATGTATACACTACTGTTTAAAAGTTCGGGGTCAATGAGACTTTAAAAAAAAAAATGAATTAATACTTTTATTCAGCAAGGATTAATTAAAATGACTGAAAGTGATGAAAAATACATTTTATAATGTTGCAAAAGACATTTCAAATAAACTGTTATTCTGGGCTTTCTATTCTTTAAAAATATTTTTTGCACAAAAAAAAAGATCACGGTTGCCACAAAAATGGTAAGCATCACAACTGTTTTCAACACTGATGATAAGAAATATTTCTTGAGTATCAAATCATGATATTAAAATGATTTCTGACGTATCACATGACACTGAAAACTGGAGTAATGATGCTGAAAATTCAGCTTTGCCATAACAGAAATAAATTACATTTTAAGATATAAAACATTTATTTTAAATAGTAATAATATTTCACAATAATACTGATTTTACTGGGTTTTTTTGTGATCAAATACATGCGGCCTTGGTGAAAATTTTAAAAACATTAAAAAAAATTTGAACGGTATACTTTTATATATTTATATACTTTTATTGTAATATAAAATAATTATATCGGTTATTTGCGGTAGGAAATTTACAAAATATCTTCATGGAACATGATCTTAACTTAATATCCTAATGATTTTTGGCATTAAAAAGAAAAATCAATAATTTTGACCCATACAATGTTTTTTTGGCTATTGCTAAAAATATACCCAAGCGACTTAAGACTGGTTTTGTGGTCACATATTTACAGTACATAGTATACTGGCCTTAGTGTGAATATGTGGCTGTGTGTGTGTGTGTGTGTGTGTGTGTGTGTGAGCTCACCACTCTGTGATATTCCGGTGTGCCCTGATGATGGACGTTTCAATGTCAATGGGATGGTATTTCATACCTCTCAGCTCCATGACTTCATCTAACGCTCCCACCACATAAAGGGCATCATGCCTTTCTGAACACACACAAATGAAACAACTCAGTGTACAGTATATACTTTTATGGTTTGACAAAGTTTCCACCCCTAATTAGTGTATTTACATAGTGTATGCTTCTGGCCTCAGTGTGATTATGTGGTTGTTATTGTTGTGTGTGTGTGTGTGTGTGAGCTCACCACTCTGTGATTGATATTCCGGCCCTGATGATGGACATTTCAATGTCAATGGGATGGTATTTCATACCTCTCAGCTCCATGACTTCATCTAACGCTCCCACCACATAAAGGGCATCGTGCCTTTCTGAACACACACAAATGAAACAACTCAATGCAAATCAGGTATCTTTGTGACAAAAAGCACAGTATACACTGAACACACACCTCCACTTGCATCAGTAAGGTCGGTCCTGCGCAGGAACCCCAGGTATCCGGTTCTGGCCCACACAGTCTGAGTGTCTCCAAAGCTCAACCTGGCTCCGAAATGATCCGAACGCACATTTTCCTCTCCGAGCACAGTGAAGTACCCACTGGCATTCTGTGGACTATGGACCCAGATCTGCACTCATTTAAAAAAAGAAACACAAGTGAGATGCTTGGTTATGAGAAAATTGATCTATAGATGAGAGAGTGCTTTTGGTCTAACCTCCCCTAAATGAGAGTCTCCGATTGGTCCCTTTGTCTCTGGGTTAGCGATGATGATGCGTACACCAGGTAAAATCTGTTCAAAAATGATTTAAAAATGAATGTGGCTTACATTTAATTTAAGGAAATTATAAGAAACAATAAAGAAACTTTTAATTGTCTTACTTACCTTCCCAGATTCCATAAGAGGTAGACTGTGTGGAGATCCTCTTTCAACCAGTCTCACCCTACAAACACACACAGACACACTTCAGAAATGGCAAACCAGAAATAAATCATACAAAAATACATTAATATTTAGCAATATATTATATATAGTAGTAAACATTTTGAAAATATTTAATATTAATCTAAATTATTTATTTAATATTTAGTTTCACCTTCTGAGGCAACATTTGTTTAAAAGTTTCAGGCACTATTTTGTACCCAATTTGTAGATTTTTGATTGGTAGTGTATCTGTTCTAATTCTAAGAATGGAAATAATGAAATACCTAAAATATGTGTGTGTGTGTCTTGCCTGTCATGTCTCAGTGCTCTCATGTCCACATAGACAGTCGTAGGATCCGGTCCTGATGTTCCCTGCACAAACATAAAAATCATCTTCTATAAATGGCAGTCTAATTTACTTTAAAACATGAAGCATCATGCTTATCTGGCGGACAGTTACTATCAAGGTGACTTGCATTAACAGTGAACAGAAATGTACAAATGTATAGTGTATGGAGAGGATTCAATCAATTAGCAGAACTGGGAAGGTAGAGGAACTATAGTATTGCCCTAGTGTGTGATATTGACAACAAAAACCCCAATATTTTCTGGTATATGTCGATTATGATTATTAGGTGAAATTTTGCAGAGTTTGTTTTTGTACTGTTACCTTATTTGGTTTAGGCCTGTCATGTCAGCTGACTCTCGAATATTCTATTTTTATACTCTGTGCGGTGGTTAGTTCACAGTAGAGACAGAAATTCACATTTAATTAGGGGGCAATATTTGCCTATTTCATTTGATTTTCAGGTGCATTTTTACCTTTATAAGGGCAATTAGATGTATGCATCATGTTTTATGTCAAAGTCTTAGAATTAATAAATTAAATTAGAATAAAAAGACACTATAGGCTTGTACCCGTTAAAATGAAAGTAGCATCAACAAAGCACATCTTTGCATTACAGAATTGGCATCTGAAGTGTCATTTAGATATATTTACACTGCAATTACAATTGAATAAATAATGCTATGAGATTAATGTTTCTAAAATAATATTTTGAATATTGAAATATGAAATAATAATTACAAAATAAAAAGATACTTAAAATATGAAACTAAATATTCAGGAAAAACAACATGCTTGCTTGTGTGATATTACTTAACTATATCATATAGAAATATAAGACAAGACATTTTGGGGGGCATTCCTACTGCATTTGAATAGGCCACACCGCGCAGTAAAAATGTGCACTCTAAAGGCATGTTTTTGTTTGTTGTTATATATTTCCACATAACATAACTATGGTCAAAACAGCTTATGCCAAACAGGTTAAACTGTTGGCATCCATTATTCGAAGAAAGAAAACCTCCAGTTCCAGTGTAGCTGTGAGATATTTGTTTGTATAATAACATGTAATGGCCAAATATATTTAGATTCACGCAACAATGAAAATAAAAAACCGTGCTGGTGCTCACTTTTTATGAGCCACCCTGAAACTAATCAGAAATGTGAATGCAGCATGACTGTTTCTTTGCATCATTTATGACTGAATCTGGACATGCTTTAATTTCTCACACACACACACACACACACACACACCATATCAGCTGTGTGGAGTCATTTCAGGTGAGGTTAATACTTTGCCGATTAGTCAACTCGTCAAAATGAGTATTCATGCACACAGGAAGATAATTTACTCCCACATCTAAATATATGATTGTAGTAACTCAGCTATGAAATGATGAGGATCAGTTCAGTCATACCTGCTCAGCAAGCTTCCCCAACCTATGAGGCTACATGAGGAGAGGAGAGGAAGATGTGATGTATAAATATTAAAAAAGTAAATTAAAAAACTGAAAAAGAAAACAAAATAATATAATATATATACAAAAAAAAAATAAAAATAGAAGGTTGAATGAGTTACATGACTAGTAAAAGGGGAAAAAAACTGAACACTGGGGATGCAATTAGACTATGAAATCAGATATGGGTCACTTTCTGGCCAATACTGACCTGTAGGCAGATGGCGAGATTGACCCTGCAGCCGAAGGCAGTGCTGACGGCACGCGGGTGCAGCCCCACGTCC